CCGGGCCGGGAGGCGCCTGAGCCGGAGCGGGTGTCCGGTTGTCGCCTCCGGTGTTAGCGGGTCTGGCGAGGTGCGTGAGCCTGTCCCGGTGTACTTGAGTTAACCAGCTCAGCCAAGCCGTATCGGTGTAGTTTGGCATTGGTGGAAGGACGGGGGTTACACGTAACGTAAGGGCTGTTCGTGAACTCTTAGGTGACTGCTTCTAAGGCCTTTCTCCTGCCGAAAGATCTCTGGTGGGGCAAAGAGCTCCTTTAGGAAAGGCTAGTCTAACGTTTCTACTGCGAAATGTTAAAGAATTGGCATTTGTGACAGTTAAAATTGTTAAGGTGCGTTTTTCTTTCAAGCCACAGTGGATACTGGCAAAGATTTGTCGTTAACTAGACTAAGTAGATCCAGCTTCCTGTTTAAACTAAGTAGATCCAGCTTCTTACAATTGACAGTAGTTAACTGTTTAATTTTTATGAAAGCTAAACTTTTTTCCCCCTTTAGCATAATACAGTTTAATACTTGATTGGTGCAAGTGGAGCAATGACTTTTTTTTTTTTCCCCTTCTGATTTTCCTCCTGTTAAGAGTTACCCTTGACTTCCCTTAAAGACCTGGATCTGCTGACTTGGTCCTGTAGTTGCAGGCTAGCTTTTACACCAGCTAGAAAACGTGTGAGCCTGAACCAATGTGTTGAACTTGAAATCTTCAGGTGGGGACTCTTGCAGACACTTCAGAAAGATCCCAGTTCATTCACCAGCAAATGGATGGGAGTTCATCCATTACACTGTGCTTGTGTATGCTGTGCTATCTTAGTGCTACTTGGAAAACCACCTGCCCCAGTTGATGACCAGCTGGGTGGACTCCAGCCTGCCACATTTTTCTCAGGAGGTTGGAAGTAGCTGTCAGGACATGGGGTGAGCCTGAAGAATTAAATTACCGCCCCCTGGGCGGGAAAGACTTTAAAGTGTACTGAAATACAGTGTTTTCTCTTAAAAGTATTGGCCTTCTGTGATCAGTTACCTGTTTGGGGCTCATCTTGAGAACTTCCACAACACAGCAGTGTTGATAGCGCTCTGTATAAAAACCAAGCGGCACACTTGGCCTTAATACTGCAAAAAACTGAAGCACATGACATTTCAGTCAGGCGAGGAGTCTCAACAAAGTCAGCATACTTAACTTTGTTCAGGTCAAGTTTAGTTGTTAGATTGTCCCTCCTGAATATATCTGCACATGGTTTTTGTCACTCTTCTTGAAATACCATCAATTATGGTTTTCAGGGTAGAATATTCTAATTCTTAAAGAAGGTGGTGTTCATTCTAGTAGTTTTTCTACAGCTATGGCTTCTTAATGCTGTGTTACTTCACGGTGTGCAGCGTGCTCTGCTGCTGCCTTTGACAAGGTCTTTAATTGGCTTCCCTTTAAAGCACAGAGGTCCAGTTGGCTAGCACACGCTTTTCGTAAGAGGACTGCAGAGTCTTCCTGCATCTTCCCTCTCTCCAGCATAGAGGTGTCATTGTAATAGATAATTTATGCTGCATTTATGATAAATTTAAGAAATTACTTCCCTTCCTTTTATCCCAGGTAGGTTTGTCTTAGTAAATATTGACAGCGTGATTGGGGTTGACTACTTGAAAATGTTGTGTTGTTTTGTTTTTCTTGTAAAGTCTGCAGATACGTCTTTTTGAAAAGAGGCTGTGCTGTACTGTATCTCATTTTTCACGTTCAGACTCTGCTGTCTCCTGTTGGCATCTAATATAATAATGGTTTTGAATCAGTAAAATTATTGTGAGTTAATTTTTTCATTTATAATCTCTTTCAGTGGAGAAACAAGATACAACAAAGACAAGATACTGCAAGGTTAGTATCAGTTATTCTGCTAGCTTGTTAGAGATTGAAAATTATTCTTCTCTGCAAAATGTGAAATCCTGTAACCAACTGCTGAAATGTTAAGTATTATTACAGAATAGGATTGTAATCCTTAAGAGACTTTATTTGTAAGCCAGGTTGTTAGCTTGATAGCTTTGCAGAACTATGAAGATTCTAAGTTGGCCTCCACAGAATATCAACAAATAATGATGCATTTCTGGTATCAACAGGAGTTGATATTGATATTTAGAATAGTTCCTTTTTCTAAATGGGGGAGGGGAGGGGAAGGGAGGGAGGAGAGTTACCTGTAATCAAATAAAGCAGTAGCAACACCTGTTACTAAGGATGCCAAAATGTCCCATAGTACTGTGTTAAATCTCAGTAGTATGAAGCCTGGGAAAAGGGCTTCCGGGGCCCAGACGAGAAGTGGGAGCTGCAGCTCTGGTGAAGAGCCAGCTGGGTGCACATTTGTACGATGGAGCTGGTAAGGAGCTGCAGAAGGATGGATAAAGGTCATGTTGTAAAGGAGTCTATTGCCTTAAGGTCACTTGCAAAAAAAAAAAGCCTACAGTAGAGCAAGGAAAAATGAAAAGTAAAGATAGTTTAAATGCTTGAATTGTTCAATCTCAGCTCTTTTAGCAAGGCAGTCTTTAGACAAAACATTTAAAACCAGAATTCTCCTTTGTGACTGCTGACTTGTACACCCAGAACTGAAAACGCCGAGCTGCTTGGATGTGTGTTGTAAAAAACCTGAGGCTCACTGCTACAAGGAACCTAGTGGGGTTGTGCTCTCGATATATAGACTTTATACAATTCTATGTGCTGTGAGGAAGAATCGTGCTTCCAGATTTTCCTCTCTCTGTTTTGACATTGCAGTTTACAGTTCTTGCAGTGTGGCTTTATGCTCATAATAAAATGAATAAAGAATATTCTCCTGCTTTATGTCCTTAAAAGTACCAATGATGTCTTCTAAATTCCTAGCCCTCTGTGTCAAATGACAGATGGTAGGTTCCTCTCCCCTCTGCAGTGTAGAAAGTGAACATTGCCTTGTGTTTTGAGAGGTGTAAGACCTATACCACTGTGGTGGGGTCCGAGGTCTCCTATGGCTGAATTACAGACAAGGTGCCCAGAATTCAAGTTCTGGACTTCTGGTGTCCTGTCTTTTCCTATTGGAAGCATATAAATGATTGTGCGTTTGCTTGGTGAAAATTGTTTTTGTCGTCGTCCTGGATCTGATGAGAATTGCACACTCTCTGCTTTGACTTCCCACAAAAGTAAAATAGGTGGTACAAGTGTGGACATAGCAATTCGTTACAGGTTTGTCCCTCTGCCACAGTTCTTGGTTCTCCTGCAGATTCTCCGAGCTGTGACAGGAGCACACCTTTTTCCTTCAAGTTGGACTACCAAAATGCTGGTTCTCTCAATGCTGTCCTAGAGCTCTGTGACCAGCTATTTTCACAGACTACTCTGGCTGAAAACAATTTTTGGAAGGGTTGCAGCTTTTCAGCTAGGTTTGTTCCATCAACATGCTCACTATGCAGCTGCATGAGCATTAGTGTCAATGTGCGAGGTGGAGTAGGGGAGAGGAAGAGACCACAACAGATTGTGTTTACATCAACTCTGAAATTCTTGTGAAATGGTCTTTGGCAAAGAGTGTGTGCTGCTTTCCGCATTACACAGAATCCCTTCTTGTTGCCTCATTTCTTCAAGGCATTGTGAACATTAGGGAATGGGGAGGAGCAGGCATTTCATATTTGTCAGGACTTGACTCTCCTGATGTGGATGTTTTTTCCATATATGTATTTTAGTATCAAGAACATTATCTCTATTGTATTGTCCTCCTTCTTATTTACAATCAGCAAATCTGTTTATAGAGTTTCAGTTTTGGTTGTGAGATTTTTCTTTCAGGAAGCCTACCAGTGACCATTCTAAAAAGGACAAGTGATTTGAAATGGTTACTCACATTTAGAAAATGTAAGCCTCTGTTTTATGTTTAAATTTGTCATATGTATACATGAATATAAATATCATCGATAATGGTCCGTCTGTCTTCCTAGCCTGTACTCCCTTTTTTCATACAATTTGTGTGACTGAGTTTAGGGAACATCAGAGAAGCAGTGACTTTTACTAATGGTTGGCTTTACTGAAGAAGCATGTTACTATGACTGAGCAGATTCTTTATTGCTGCCATGCTTGCTCAGCTGCTAAATCACCTAAAATTTGCATGTCCTAATGTTGATGGGTTTTTATTTTGTAGGTCAAGGAGTGGATGAGCCACTCTCTGCAACTGGTTTCAGGCAAGCAGATGCTGCTGGTTTATTTCTCAGCAACGTGAAGTTTACTCATGTCTTTTCAAGTGACCTCCTTCGAGCAAAGCAGGCAAGTGCTTCTTGAGGCAACTAAGTATAAATATTAGCTTCAGATTTTGGCATTTATTTGCTGTCGATGCAAAAATAGTACAGTGATGGACAGCCAAAAGCTATTTTGATGGACTTAGAACTGCAGTTTGAGTTGTGTAGAATTCAAGAAGGCCTCTACGAGTAAGGAAGTTTCAGTGAGAACAGCTCAGGAAGCGATGAAGGCCAGCTTGCTTGGTAGGATGTCATGCAGTGTTGTTCTTATGGATTTGCTGTTATATGTGCATAGGTTCTTGCTAAAGCAGTAATCGGGACTTAGAGGTAACACAAACTGAAGTCAGTTTTCTTTTGAAGAAAGAAAACAAGTTGGCTGTGATACTGTCTTATGCATTGTAGCCATATGCTATGTTTTTCTAAGGAATGCAGAGCAATATAGGCAACATAAGTTTTGCTGTAAAGTCAGTACAAGGATCATTAAATGTGCAGAGGTTGGATTTTCGCAGGAACGTAGTAGCACACCTCTCACCTTGATGCACTATTTTAATAGGTTAATTAAAGAGGAAAAAGTGTTAATTACTGAGTGGGATTAGATGTGATTTTGTGTGCAAGATGATGAAATACTCAAAAAATTAGGGAAACGGAACTTTTAAAGGTAGAGGCATAGATCAGCTGTTCTAGGAAGGTCATGTCTCCTGTGGAAGCCCTATTCTTAATTCTCTCTTCTGTTACTGATGCTGTGATTTCAGGAGATTTGTAGGCTTCACATGATTGAAACTACCAAGCAATTCTTGATGGTCCTGCTGGTTGCTTGCTTTTTGCTCTGTTGTCCTTCTACAAAAGTCTGTGAAGCCTTGCTGTAAACCAGACCAACAAAATCTAGCATAAATCCCCCTTTTTTTGTCTTAAAACATAGATCATCAACGTTGCTCATCAGTTTTGCAGCACAGTCCCATAAACTGCTGTAGCAGCACAACTTAGACAGAAAACAAACTAGAGAGACAGGGAGAGAGGAGTGCAATAATTAGATATTTTTAAAATGCCTAATAACTGCCTGACAAGTTACTTCCTTTAAGTGTGTGAATGGCAGTGATTATATTTAAAAACATTCATAGTGCTTCGTAACATTGATAGGACTGTCTGTACTATGTGCTTGCCTTAGGGGAATTGCTTTTGAATGCTCAGCTGCTTGAGAGCGAGGTTGGTAATTTTTTTCCTTATATTAGAGACAGCCTTTCCATGAGAAGCATTTGCACTCTCATAATGTGGAAGACAGACCTGAATTTGTCCTTTGCATAAAGGAAATGTGTTTTGCCATTTGTTTGACAAGCTATCCAGACTTTGTGGAAGCTTTTCCAAAGATGTGTAAAGCTGCAGTTTCCATTTGCTTGGAACTCCCTTTTTTGGCAGCTGCAAATCTATGAAGAAGTGTCCTTTACTACGCTGTCGCTTCATAGCTCAAGTATGAGAGGAATGTACAAGTTCCCTTGCAAAAGAGGAAAGAACAGTTTTTAAAGAAACTGTTAGTGGTAAAGTTTAGTTTTCCTTGCGGTGTCTCCTGCATCAGCTGTAGTCAGGGTCTGTACCTGTTACTGGAACCAGGAGTGGTATGTGGTCCTCTGGCTGCGGTCTGTGGCTGACAGCTGAACATTCAAGCCTGAGCAGGGCAGGAGAAAACAGGAATGTGTGCAAAGAGAGTTGTACTAGCTGGGCAGGAATTCAAGAGCTACAGGAGGTGCAAAGTGAGCAGGTATAGGAAATGCAGAGAGAGGCTTTGCAGGGAAGCCTGTTTGAGAGAATAACTCTAGGAAGGAGGGTCAAAGACTAGCTCCAGAAATTAGCAGTGTAAAAGAGAGTAGGCAGACGTGCAATGTGAAAATAAAAAAAGGCTATTTGGGCAGACTGGGGTGTGATGTGAACAGAGCATAACTCTGTAAGACTTGTAAGCTTAGCAGAGCGTTACACCAAAGTCTGCAGGGGAATATGGGGCCTACTGTGAGATGTTCATGCTGTTGGGACAAGAACTCTGCAGCAGTGAAAGTAGGTTCAGGACTGGGACAGGCTGGGTCCTGAAAAGGACGAGAGAAAATCTGAGTCTTTTCCATGTGTAAAGTGGGGCTAATATCCCTTCTCTCCCTGTGGTAGAGCAAAGATATCAGGATAGCATGCTGATATTGTAGTAATGGATAGTGTAGGAAAGGTGTGAGGAAGTTAATCTCTTTTTTCGGAGCAGATTTTGGTTTCAGCACAGTAAATGAAGCTTCATGTTTAATATTTACATTTCAGAGTATGAATTAGTGCTCAGTAGGTGAATGTTGTCTATTCTATGTACTGAACGAGATCTCAGTACTGGAGAAATTTCAGGATATAATTGTACAATTAACTATGCTATTCATATATACAAGGAAGTTGATTCAACCCTATGTGAATTTTGACATTGTTCTGTGACAGAAATTTAAAGTTGCAACATAAAGCCTTTCCTAAGCAATACATTAAACGGGTCATAAAATCTTGTTAGTACAACAAGGCTGCTTATTATTTGCCAGAATCCAAGGAGTCTTTTCAAAATGAGTTCTTTGAGTGTCAGTTCGATTGGATGTGGACATTTGCACAAGACTTCCAGCTGATATTACCAGTCAAAACTATATGCGAATCCAGTACAGCCTTCACACTTTGGTATATATAACAACCGGAGCAGGTTAGCCATCCTTTAGTTCCCATTATTGGCTGTGGCAGCCAGACAGGTGTACAATATCCAACACGCTAGAGCCTGTATTAGGCAATACTTTTTCCAAAGTAGTATCAGAATTTCCTCTTGATCAGTTGTCTTGCCCTCCCTGCACCTCCGAAATCGTATGCTTCCTTGGAAGAAAAAAAGATATATAGCACAAAACTCAAGACATCCAGACTATTGTTAAAAGCAAACTAAGCCATTTTGGCTTTCTCTGTCTCTTGGCCACGCTATTAAAAGGCAGGTGAATACAATAAGCTAGATTCCGCCCCCCGCCCTGCCAAGTGCATCATCCAGTGCATTTCTCCCTCATAACATCGAGACTGACACTTCAGTATGTTGCCAGCAAACACCCTCCTGCCTCTTAACTGCTTCAAGACTATTCGATTTCTGAGATGCATTAAGTAGCCGCTTGCCAGAACGTAATTTCATTTGTTAGAGGCTATGTTTTTCGCCGTCGGATTAGCTGATCGGTTTTTAGGAACGTACTGCTTGTGAGTCTGACCCACATACTAAATGTAAAGAATGTGTTGGCATGATTGCTTTGTGAGTGGCAGTATACTCAAGAGAAGATGTGGCTTTTACCCCAGTAAATCCTGCTGCAGCCATGCATCTTGCTGCCCACCTTTCATGGGTGCTAAGTGTCTTCAACTGTTCTGGACTTTGAATTGTGAAAGAACTTTCAGAAGATGGCAGCTTTTCTGCCTTTTATGTCCTGACACAGACCATATATCCAATTCTGACAGACACTACTAGCTGAAAAACTTTTTATCTTGTTTGTTTGGGTTGTTGGGTACTACTAATGTGATTCACATTGGCTATGTGGTGTAAGATGGTCTAGTTATCCCATGAGAAAACAGCTCATTGATGTGACTGTATATTCACTTTTTAGACTGCTGCCACAATTCTAGGAAAAAATAAGTTTTGTAAAGATTTGGAAATCAAGTATGATGCAAGACTTCGAGAGAGAGTAAGTGCCAAAAGAGTTTGTTTTAATATTGAACAATTGGAAAATGTAGCTTACTGCTGACAGGTATCTTGGCTTATTAAATGGTAGATTTAACAGTGGAGAGCATTATTTGATGTGTTTTAATCACTGAAAACTGAACTCTTCATATGAGATACTATAAATTGTTTGCAGAGTTGTGAAGCAAAGCCAACATTTAGTGGTTAGTGCGGTAACTGTGATGCTCTAATGATTTAAGTAAGGTAAGATTTACATGTAGAGAGAATTATCTTAAATGTAATAAAAAGCTTAGCTCTGTTTTCTAACCCCATATGTAAAGTGTTAAAGATAATCCCTCTGCCTACCTTCTCTAGCCTGATTGCACAACTCAATGTTGGCTTTTTAGCTGTTTATACCCTTTCATTTGCACAAAGACTACTGAAGACTTTCTGTTGCCCATGGAACAATCTGCTTTCCTGGTTAGCCTCTCTGCCTGGTAACAGGCATAATTGTACCTCCTGTCTGGTTTTAAGTATGTCTTGATCAGAATAAACTCAGATGCTGGCTGTTTCTGATAATATGAATCTGGATTCAGATGCTACACTGAGAGTGTCAGCTGAATTTTAAATAAGGAAATGCTACAAAACCAAAAGTGGGATGGCATATTGCAAGCAGGCAAATAAGTGTTTAAGGAGCAGAACACGATTGTAGCATTTCCTATTTGGATCTTCTTTTTCTGTCAAAAATTCCAGTTATTCCCCTGAAATGCTTCCCAAACTTCTTTAGTTGCTTTACCACCTGATGTTTTTGAAAATATTACAGTTCATGATACAGAATTTTAGAAAGAATAATCTTAAGTCTCTGTTAAACTTTTTTCCCCTTTTCATGGTGTTTGTATGGATATATAGAAATGCCAGTACACTGTCTGCAGGCCACAGGTTGTAAGTCACTACTCTGGAATTAAGGTTGAATTGCATGAAAAGAAGCAAAGTCCTTAAAAAGAACATATGTCATTGACCCTATTAAGAAAGTTTTATTCTCTCATGCCTTGTTTTCATGAGAGAAGTCTGGAAAAATCTTTAAGATCAGGTTTTTATTTTCAGCAGCTTCAGAGCACTTATTTCTTCATGTCTTTCTTAGTGTTCTTAAACTGTCAATATTTTGCTTTAGAGAAAGGGTTTGTGAGGCTGAACTAAACACGTTTCAGTACATTTAAATTCTGAAGACTGTAATAAATTATTATGGCATTTAACTGCATATCCACAGCAAGTGAAGAGTGACATAGAAGTCAAAAAAGCCTCAGTAATGAGTATGTGTCTGTATCCTAGTCATCAACATCTGGATTTCTGGAATGCATGTAACTGAGTGTTTGACAGTATAGCATCAGGTCTTCCTTTCTGAAAATACTCATGATAACTGCAGCGTTTTCACTGTCTTTGGACATTCCAAGGAAAGACCAAAGCTTTCCACTTGAATATATTTTTCATCTGTTAGTGGCAGTGAGGTATTAATCTTCAGAGGGAGAAGTATTAATCTGTTTTACCATTGCTAGAGATGTGCCTTGGAAAGATCTTCAAGGTCAGAAATGGTAATGCACACCCAAGTATATCTGTCTTGTAAAACACATTACAGATGATAAAGATTATGTTTTATAATGGGACTTCTAGTTAGCCAGAATAACTAGCTGGTATATATGGGTTCTTCCTAGTGTTTCTCATGTGGGCATTGTATTTGGAGGTCTCAGGAGTAAGCATGTCATTGAAGGTAGTTAATTGCATGTTCTCTGAGTCCATTAGCATATGCTTTTAAGATCTTCTTTGCCTTTTTTGTTTTCTGAAAACACTGTCCACAGCAGTAATGTAAGTCCCCAAAAAGTGTGGGGAGGCCTTATTGTTTATTTTTAATAGGTAGAGTACTTGTGGGGTTTTGTTGGGTTTTTTGGTGGGGTGTGGGGCTTTTTTTTGTCTCTTTCAAAAATTCTGATTTTAAAATGGATGACTCCTCTGTTGTGGAGATTTCAGAGGTCTGTAGAGAAAATATTTGTTTCTTACTCTTGAAAAATAATTCCCTGTAGTCTTTCTGCAAATGAAAAGTAAATGGAGTTTATCCTCATGTGAACAGCTACATAGAGAGGTGTTTGCAATGTAACCTCAGTTACAAAGACACTTGAATTTTGTATGCTAAGAATGAGTGTCAAGAATGTAGGAAAAAAAGGTCAAGGCAAAGATCAGGCTGAAGGTAGTGTTTTTGAATATTTGTACTTTAAATGAGATGCTGCTCTTAATGTATTTCTCCACCCAGCATGTGTGTGTATATATATATACACACACACTTTAACTTAAACAGCAGATATAAAGATACCTCCTCCCCCAATATTGGAATAAAATGTGAAAAGTAGTTAAGCCTGCATGTTACACTTGAGAACCCAAGAAAACAAAGCCATTAAGAGATGTTCGCATTGGAAGTGGTACTGGAGACTTTATAGATCTTCTTAAACCCGCTCTTTGTAACTTGCCTCTTACAGAAATATGGTGTTGCAGAAGGAAGGCCTTTGACTGACCTCAAGGCTATGGCAAAGGCTGCTGGAGAGCAATGTCCTTCATTCACGCCTTCTGGAGGAGAAACACTGGATGAAGTATGGTATTTATTTATTTATTTGTGCTCTAGTTTCTAGGCCGTTTCATCAGTACAGAGGCAGCTATTGCATACTTAGGAACATCTTATTGAGAGCTTAGCCTCACCAAAGGTAGTTACGATCCAAGCTAAAAACACTACCTGACGTGATTGCAGTGGCTGCCAAGTAGAGAATCTCTTTAGAACTAAAATATTGATTCTGAGACTGACTCCTCATGAAGCTCTCGTTCACAGAAGGATGATGGCAATTACTCTCAACCTTGGCTTTGGAGGGCAGAGGAGTTTTTACCACATTCAGTAACTTACCATTGATTTCTGATACTTGTCTGTGATAAGTGTTTATCTTTTAACTGAAGTAGTTAGAGCTCAGATTTCCGAAAGCCGTAGTCTCTTGCATTCTTCACAATGTACTCTTCTGACCTTTCTCTTTAGGTAAGAGAACGTGCAAGGGATTTTTTTGAATTTCTGTGTCAGCTAGCTGTTGAATTGGAACAGAAAGAGCAAGACGTGCATGGTGCAGCAAGCAGGAGCTCAGGAGCATCTGAAGAACAGTTAGTTTTCCCGTGGACAAACCACTGCAGTGAAACAGAACTTACCTCTGGTAACGGTGGAGCTTCTAAAATATTAGATGCCAGTATGTTAGTGGTGAGTCATGGAGCCTACATGAGGAACTGGATTGGTTATTTTGTTTCGGATCTCAACTGTACTTTACCAACAAATTTAACAAAGTCTCAGTTGTCTTCTGTCAGTCCCAATACAGGAGTTAGTCACTTCATTATAAAACTTGAAAACGGAAATTTGTTAAAACCTGAAATCACATGTGTTTGTCTTAATCAAGACTCTCACTTAGTGGATGTGGGAGCTGAATGTGTAGCTCCAAAAGTGTTTTAAGAGTCTTTGTAGGGGAAAGCGGGTTTAGATAGCCATTTTACTAGGCTTGGGAAAGGTATCTATAGTAATTACTAAGATTGACTGGAGTTATTGACACTAAACTGCAAAATTGAAGACATGCAACTGCTTCCATCTTAAAATAATACAATTTGCATGGTCCTAGTGCCCGACACAAGTTGGCACTAGAGAAATAACACAAATGTTCTTTATGAACAGAAACATACTTCAGTCACTTGCATATCTCCTCCTAGAGTGCATATTTTTAAAAACTTCTTTTGATTAGTCCATAATTATTTTGTTTATCCCCAGGTAAAAGAGTTGGGGAGGGGAGAGGAATGGTACCTCAAAGATGAGCTATACTGTATTCTTGTTTTATTACAAGATGCTATACTGTAATATAAAATATGTATGTTGTCTTAAAATAACTTTTTTGAATGCAGTAGTATAACCTAAAAAGGAGCATTGCCCAGAGGAAAAGGTTTGGTACAGAGTCAGGGGACAAGTTCCTGGCTCTGATACTGAGGAGCTGTGAGACTCTGAGCAAATCTCTTCACCATTTGTAAAATGGGGATGATGATATACCTACCTCGCAGGAGTGTTTTGTAAGAAGTTGTTAGTGTTGAGGCCTCTGTTGAAGAGCACTGTACACAAAGTATTTATTTTTAACTGTAAGCAGGACGAGGAGCCTCATGAGCACATAGTTGAAATAATGGTGTCTCTCTTCTGAAAAAGAACCTTCTCAGAAGGATGAGTTGTACCCGACTAGAATCCCGTTGTCAGTTGTAGTCATACACTTGATGGATGAATATTTTTGCCTAGAATTAGGCAAGTTTGATTGCTTGATGATTGCTTATAGTTGCTGATAGTACTGCATTCTTTCCCCACTGGGGTGTTTGTAGTGTTACTGTGTAAGCTTATCTGACTTACGTTATTTATAATATCCACATACTTTTCCTTGATTTGCATATTTTAAGCCTATTTAAAAAAAAAAAAAAATAAAAAAAATTAAAGGCTCCTGAATAGAACTCTGTTTCATCTGTATTTCTTTTGAGGTAAAAATCTTTGTTGATATTATTCTACGAAGCTTTGCTCAGATCATATAGCTTATTTTGTTTTTTTTCTGAAAAACCCCAAGCTGGTCCTTTACTGTGAAAAAGAGCCCTTTTTAGGGTGATGGATCAGTGCTCTCCTGACTCTTACCTGGAAGAACCACTGATGTTAAAATGCTTAAATTGCTTGCAACTGTACAAAATTAACTGTTTGACTGAAGTTTTAATTTTTTATAATTTTTAAAAGTATGCTGTCCTATGTAATTTACACTACTTGGCTTCTTTGCCTTGAAGCAGAGACTTGAATTTTGAGGAGGAAAAAGGTTGTTATTGTTTCCTTGAAGAGGTGGGTACCTATACTTAACTGCAGCCCTACTAATAAACAGCAACAGAATTATTTAATCTGACTCCATTCACTGTACTTTGCTTCCTCCATTCCCGTGACTGTGATTCAGTAGGAAAGTTCTCATGATTGCTACTTGAACACAGAACGGGGATCTCCTTCCATTCTCTCTGCTGTTTGCCCAATGCTAATACTGCTGGCGTGGAGGGGATGAGGTGGGAGGTGGTCAGCCCTGTGGTGACAAGAGGTAGGCTTCTAAGGTCATGCTCTCCAGGACCTGGAAGTGAACCTAAGGCTTCTTACTTGCAGTGGGGCTTGTTTATCTAGCAAATGACCACGAAGCTATCTGCTGCTGTGTCTGAAAACTTGTCTGCAGAGAGTAAAGCAGCTTACCTGATGCGTAAAGATGTGTTTACAGATGTGTTATGCTAGTAACTGGTGTCAGCAAACATTGGTCTTTCAACCTCTAACACATTCTATAATGTGAAGGACTGGATGCTCTTAAGTTGGGTTGGCAAATTTAAGTTGGAGTTTTATACTGAACTTCTGCCTTGATAGGCTACACTTGTTACTTACTGATCAGCTGGCTTCCTTTCATTTCTTTACAGATACAGAGGAAAGACATGTCATTATGGCTCCTCTGTCCCCATATGAGGCAGTTCATAGATGTACAGGTGTATCTGGGCAAAGTGTTGTGATGAAGGGTTTGCCAGCAAACATGAAATCTTCATAATGTAGAATCCTGGGAAACTTAAGATTTCTCGGTAACATAAAAACAAGCTTTGGTTAAAATGGCTCTGTTTCAAGTTTAATTTTGTATAAGAAGCCTTTGTTCAAAACAAAGGTATTCTTAAGTAAAGTGTTTCAGTGTTATTCAGAAGTAAAAATTTCTGAATTCAAATAGTCAAAATAAAATGTTTAGAAAATTAGTATTTTTTTTGAGAAAGCCATCCAACTGGAAAAATCCTTGTTAGCCAGCCATTATTGACATTATGTATGATTACCACCCAAATGGTAAGTTTGTGTTTGTGAAATTAAAAAGGGTCTGTTTCAAATCAAAAGTACAGAGGTGATAGTGGTAGCTTGAGGAACTGCTCAAGAATTTTGTTTAAGTGTCCATGGATTTTTTCACAAATAAAAGAATTCATTCTTAATATACTAAAGGAAATAAGTTGTGTACACAGGAAGGAAAAATGGGAATATGGGCTTTTGCACAGACTCCTCAAGCTTCTTGTGAAATGCATCTTCCTAGAGGGCTCCTGAATACTAAATTGATGATCACAGCCGAAGATAGAATAGTTTTAATTATGACTACTAACAGAGTTAATGGCAGAGGGTGGGATGGGAGTTCATTCTTAATTTGCTTGTCCCTGCTAGTGCCTCTTTATTTCAGGAAGGCTAGTTACATAGCAGGAGACTATCCTGTTGGTGCTTTAAATAGCTTGAACTTTTCTGTAATTGCCATGTCCTGAATTTGGTCAGTCATTCCATTAACACTTCTTGGAGCCAGAGTAACCAAGTTGAAAACGTGCGTCCTTCGTCAGCTAGAAAATGAGTGGAGACCTAGTATGTTTTCCTCCCTAAGTCAGTAACTTTTGTCAAATGTTTCAAAACACACTAGTGATTTCTGTGCTTCTCTTAGTTTAAAAGGCTTCTTTTCTTTCTTGCCTGCCCTCAAGCAGGTTAATTAACATTTTGCTCTTGCTGATGAGGTAAATATCTTACAGGAACATCTACCTATTTGTTAAATGCTTTGCCACTTCTTGGGTAATACTCTTCCCATAGGGATTTTTGACTCTTCCTCTATAACATGCTTTACCTTCTTTAATGTGTTTGTAGGTGGCTAAAATTTAGACCCATCTTAAGAAACCTGTCTTTATGATTGTTTAAGTTACTGCTAACAAATTCTTTCATCTTGTGTTAACTCTTACATGGGGCAAGCAGCAGGTACAACAGCGTCTAACTGTGAAAAATACCGAAGGGTGAAACCTCCCCAGTTTTCTAAACAGCTCCTATGTTAATGAAGTAACATTTTTTCAATGAAAAACTTAGGAGCTAGAATCTCCTAGTGAAGACTTTGTAAAACACACTAAATCAGTGCAAACGCATCTGCCAGTGGCTGGGGGAGTATAAGCAGTCAAGCAAGTTCTGCAGTTGCCCTATTGTATTCTTTCCCTTTGTACTGCACTTGGTGGTGTTGGAGGCAGGATACTGGCCTAGGTGATCTTACAGCCTGCTCTAATATAGTTACACTTTTTATTTCACCTTTGTTATATCAGATGTAAGCTTCTCTGTGCATTAAAAAGTAAATCAGTAATTTTGGAAACTTCTGAAGTTACTGGTAAGCCTTTTTTCCTTTAGGTCTGTGTATAGTACTAGTCTGGTTTTTTGCCTTTGTATTGACACCGAGATTAAATCTTTCTTCTTGCTCTTTTAATAAAGTGGCTCTTGTACATTTGTACAGCAATTCTGTACAGTTTATTGGGATCATGGGAAAGGAGAGCTGCAGTTATAGATGGTTCTGTTAGGAATAGTAGCAGAACATAAATATTTGAGGGATTACTCAGTAGTGGGCAATGAATGTTTTGTCCTTGTGAAATGCCAGTCTCTAATTAGCAGCAGGAGACAAGGCCTTAACTACAGGGTGGATTTTCAGCAGTAGCTGCCAAGATGTAAGAGAGGCTGTGAAAGCAGATCGAGCTGTTAAACACATTACCAGGATAATAAGAATTTCAAGTGATAACAAAAAGGTACGTTCCTTTTGAATAGCTTTGTAGGAAAATAGTGCTGAAACAAATGTTAGAAACATGTCAGTTTGCCCACATAATGGCCTGTAGTCAGATCTGAGAGAACCAATGCATAGTTCAAAATTATCTTTTAAACTGGTGAGGTTAAACCAAAAGCTGTCTTGGCAGGCTTTTTCAGCTGAACAATAGGAGAAGAAAAGGTGACTGTGGAGATCACCAAGATCAAGAGGAAACTCTGTCCCCTCTTTTCAAAGCTAGTGTTTTCTTTTGCTGAAGAGTCCAGTGGTATTCTATGCCTAAAATAATGGTGCTTCAAAAGGCAGGGGAGTTGCGACCTCCTTTGATAAAGTCGTCGTCTGTGTTTAAGCAGTGCTTTAGCAGGCCGGGCTTGATTTGGAAAAGGTGACAGGAGAGACAAAGACGGGTTCAAAGTTGCCTGCATGGGAGCACACTTGTTCCTCAGTTTTGGCTCCACCAACATCTCCTGGCAGCTCTGCTGAATGTCTAGCAGGCATCAGGCATGCACTCTGGCAGAGTGCTCTGGTAGTATCACAGTTTCCTTCCTCTAAAGTGTCAGCCCTTTTTCCAAGATATTTGCTCTATTCCCACAGTTTTCTGTTGGGTTTATGTTTTCCAGACCTAGCCCTGTCTTTGCAATAGGAGGAGGTGGGGTTTTTTTTTTACGTTTTTTTTTAAAGTACAGAATTTAGATCAGATGCATTCTCTATCCAAGCTTTTGGTATTTCATGAGACTGCCTCAGATCCACAGCCCACATGCCTGGACCTAATATATGTCAGATTTTCCCCAGATGCGTCCCTCTTGTGAGGGCTTTGGCCGTGAGCCTGAGGTTTTTGGATATATAGTAATCCCAGGCAAATGGCAGCTGCATGAGCACAAATCAACTGCACAGTATGCAAGCTGTTTCCCTGACAC